CAACTATGGCTCGGCCCTATCTAGAGTTAGTAGTATTTAGTTAGCAGTAATTTGTTTCATTTTGATAATGCGCATCTTCGATGGAAGTGCTATGGTAATCAACTGGACTACGATACTTTTTCTTTATTGAGAAAAAGGATGAAGATTATGCAAATCAAATGTTATCAAAAATATATATTACTTTACCAGAATAACATCAAATCTAACCCTAAATTACTTTGGTCGTATATTAACTCTAAACGCAAGCGGAACACAGCTTATCCAGGTTCAATGACATACGAGGGTAGGCAGTTGGTGGACGGCGATACTATTTGCTCCGCATTCAATCATTATTTCGAGAAAATGTTTATTCCATCAGCAAAGTTTTACCCAAATGAGGAGCAACCTTCAGTTAGTACTCGTGACTTAATACACTTTTTGTCGGTCTCTCAAAATGAAATTTCTAGGCTGCTTTCTGCGCTGGATGTTAGGAAGTCTGCTGGTAGTGATCAGATCCCGCCTTCATTTATAAATAATTGCGCCGTGTCTCTCTCTTTTCCATTGAGTATCATTTTTAACCGTTCTATATCAATTGGAGTTTTTCCCTCAAAGTGAAAAGAAGCCCATATTGTTCATATTCACAAAAAGGATTCAAAATGCAGAATAGAGAATTACCGACCAATTTCCATTTTGAATATTTTTGCAAAATGTTTAGAAAAGGTCGTTTACTAAAGTATTTATCCCATATTAAAGCAGAGTATACCTGATGAGCAGCATGGTTTTGTAGGGAGGACGATCAACAGTCTCAAATTTAGGCATTTATATTAGTGATTTGCACCGGTATATGGGTACTCATTCTGAGGTTGATGTGGTCTATATGGACGTCGAAAAAGCTTTCGACCGCGTAGATCTCATTATACTTTTGCGGAAGCTTTTTCAGCTGGGAATACGGGAGACCTGTACAGGTGGATTCAATCGTATATTTCAAATAGGAAACAAGCTGTAGTTATATGTGGAAATCGCTCTGACTTCATCAATATACCTTCCGGCGTACCACAAGCCTCACTACTCGGTCCTTTATTTTACATAGCTTTTATTAGTGACATTAGCTCCTGTTTTAAGTATGCGAAATGTTTACTTTATGCTGATGACACAAAAATTTATGTGACGGTCAAATCCCGAGAAGATTGCTTAAAACTGCAAGAAGATTTAAATCGGCTTTCGCAGTATTACGTTACTAACAGAATTACTGTTAACGCGGCAAAGTGTATGCATATACAGTTCACAAGACGCAAAAAAGGCATCGAATACGATTTCAAATTGAGTAACACATTTCTGAGCAAAGTGGATGTCGTTAAGGATTTAGGTGTTTATTTGGACTCAAAACTAACTTTCGCTAATCATTTTGAGCACACAACCAACAAGGCATATAAAAATTTAGGGTTCATTTTTAGAGTGACCAAGGATTTCAGGAATGCTTCCTGTATGAAAATGTTGTACTGTGCATATGTTCGAAGCATTCTTGAATACTGCTGCACTATATGGAACCCACAGTATATTAGATACGAACATCGCTATCGAACGCCTGCAAATAAAATTCATAAAATATTTAAATTTTCGATTAGCGATTACAGGAAGTCGTGTAGTAAACATGGCCACACTACACTTAGCGATAGCCGTCGTATGCAAGATATGGCTGTTTTGTACGATATATATTCAGGAAAATTAGATTGTACAGAATGCAGAATAGAGAATTACCGACCAATATCCATTTTGAATATTTTTGCAAAATGTTTATATTAAAAAATTTTCATAATTTTTTGCAAATATTTTTGCAAAATGTTTAGATTAGGATAATCAGCCTAAAAACTCCTAAGAAAAGGTCACGTCATACGCAGCTTTTTCACGTACCGCTTGTACGGACAAACTACGAGGCTAACGACATGACCGTGAGATTGCCTAAAACTTATTGTATATAAGTATTTTTCTGACATTGACCTGTTTTCTATGTCTAGAACTACATTTAAAACTGCTTTGCTTGGAAACATCAGAGGTATAAAAAAATAAATTAAATAATTAAAAAAATGTATTAATTTCTCATTTTATTAATTAATCAACGTTAACTTTATATAATTTATTTGAATATTTAACTCAATTACTATAATTGAACCATTTTACTTTAACTTATTTTCTTAAACAGTTTTATTTGCGTCGATTTCGTGCGCCATGTAAGCCGAGTTGCAAGCATTAACGATGCGAGCAGTTTCTTTCTTTGTTAGTTTTACCTGCCTAGCACATTCTCTGAGGAAATAGGGGGAGGCGAACTAGACACTTCCGCTCCATCACATATACACACATACACACACACATACACACATCAAAAAAAGTTTGCGATCAATAGCATAAGCTCCTATAATTCTTTAAATTTAACTTTATCAAGAAAAAATCTATGTTGTATGCTTTCTTTAAATAGGAATATCCTGTTTGAAATTAAAATATAAAACTATTTTTTATTATTTATTTTAAAAAATTGAGCCATTAATCATAATGTAATAGTGATAGAAATTTCATAGAAAGAAAAAGACTGTTTAATTAAACTTAAACAACAATTTATTATTAAAAGGTGTGAATTCAATATAAAATAACTCCTCCCCTGGCTCGAATACATGCGAAGATCCTCCTGGGCATGCTGAGGATCAAGTTATCCAGCATTTCCTGGGGTAACCTATCCCATTCTTCAATAGCGGCTTCCCTGAGCTCTGGAACTGTTTGGGGACGTGGCTCACGGTTCCATACTGCTCGTTTAAGAGCATCCCACGCGTGCTCTACTGGGTTTAAGTCGGGCGAGCCGGCAGGCCAGTCTAATCGTGTGATATAGTATTCTTGAAGAGCAGCATTGACTCGTTGAGCTCGATGTGCGGGCGCATTATCATCGACCAGTACAAATTGGTGCCCATGGTTTACTCGGAATGGTCTGACGATATCATCAATAGCAACTGCTTTGTACATGTCTGCTGTCATGAAGCCCCGATACGGGATCAAAGGCGTTCTAGCTCCAATCATAATGCCACCCCAAAAGGACACCGATTTTCCGCCTTGCTGAACTGTTCCAGTGGCAGTTCTTTGTCTTTCACGGTCGCCTGGTCTTCTCCAGACACGGACACGTCGGCTATCTGGATGAGTGCTGATTCGGGATTCGTCAACGAAGAGACAATTTTGCCAAATGTTTTCGTCCTCACCTTCTTCATTTTGCCGAAGTCTAGCCCACTGCAATCTTCGTTGTTGACGTTGCCGGGAATTGAGCGGAGCTCGCCAAGACCTCCGTGCTCGTAATCCAGCCTGGTGCAAGCAATTGCGAACGGTCTGCGTGCTAACTTCAAGCCCAGAGGCGGCCCTGACTTCTGCTTTTATTTTAGTGGCGTTGATTGTTGGATCACGGGCTGCCAGCAATCTAATATAGCGCTTTTGGGCAGCTGTCAAAACAGTTGGGCGACCGCTGCGGGGTCGGTCAGCTAAATTCCCCATTCCGTGATACCTCTGCAACGTAGCCACGACACAGGATTGGGATATAGCAAGTCTGCGTGCTATTACTCTCGTGGTGTATCCTTCTTCCCTCAAAGTTACTATTCTAGCTCGTAAAACCTCTGATAATCCTCTTGGCATTTTTTCAATCACAACTTTCCGCGAAAAATATCTTGAATCGCTTATAATTGACTAAATCAGATTTCTGAATGAGCGTAAGCTAGGACTGAAAGCCTTTTTATATGAAAAAACAATTGAACGGGGTCATTGTTTTATGTTCTAATTTATTTTTAAATATTTTAATTTTGTTCTAATTTATTTTTAATTTTTAAATCATAATATAATCTACAGTAACAAAAAAGATTTCAGTTTTTCGAAGTGATCGCAAACTTTTTTTGATGTGTGTATACTTACACAGACCTATACACGACAATTGATATCAGTAATTTACAGTTCGTTATGAACTCAGTTTCTATTGTACCAATTTAAATTTATTTTTCGACCCAATGTTGTAATAATAATATCACATATTTTGTATACATAGTGAGTTTCTGTAATTGGCTTTTGTACTGCTTAAACACATTTGTCAAATAAGCTTAAGAATGCTGTTGAAACTTTGTTCATTGAATAAAATAAAATAAATTGTTATAAATCACCAACGTGTCATATCAGTATAAGTTATACGGATATGACACGTTAACACACTAAATAATTATTGGAATACGTTTAGGTGAAGCTTGTAGGACGACTGATGGCTTCACAATCCTCTCAAATCCTTGGCAAAGTGAACTCTCATACGTACGGCGTATGTCTATTTAAATTAGTACTTGCCTACCAATTTTGTATCGCTGTTTCACAATAGCTCGTTTCGATGGAACATAAGAAACAATGCAGTAATACTGTGTGTTGAAAAGTTTATTTTGTGTACGTTGGTTACAGCGCCCTTACCAATATTGTGTAATTGAATGACTCGATTCATCTTGAGCATTACGTTTGTTGAGTATTGGCGCGTTACTGGATGATAATCCTAAATACCAACAAGTATTATTTTCTCGTAAAAAGTCGTATTTCAGTTTTGCAGTAGTTTATTTTTTATATAATACTTAGTGATGGGACGAACTAATCGTGAGCCTGGTGGTAAGCAACACGCCTGTCCATATTAGTTGTGGTGTCGCTCAGAGCTATAAATCGCAATGATCTGAGGGGCACTGCCACTGCGCGCGTCATCTTGGGACATAAGATGAAAAGTCCCATGTGAATTTCGACCTCACTTATTTCTTGGCGACAGAAATAGGTATGGTGGCAGTACTTTCCTGGACGAACTCTTTCACAAGGAGCTCTACTGCTGACTAACGCTTGTGTAAAAAGAACATTCTCGTCCTTCGCGTTAGTGCTATAGAGTTGTGACATTATTCGTTCTATATTTTGACTCACAAGAATAAATATATTTGGAATAGACATATTCTACAATCCTGTGCATTTATGAATTGAATTTGCAGAGCGACGACAGCGCTCCGCCCTTTCGCATCGCGCGAACAGTACATCGTCATCGCAGAACTTCGCGCTGACGTCGCATGCACCACGGCACAACGGCATAGCGCCGCCCCTGCCACCCGCTCCCATTCAAGAACTACCCCCGCCACGGAAGCCCGTGGTACCTTCAAATGCAAATAGCATATCAGGTAATTATGCACTTTTAATTTCTGGCAATATACACGAAGTCTCTCGTCTATCCTTTACCAATTATTCTACCGTAAAACATGACGTGCGGCTATTTAGATGATTGGCAATGAATTTAACGGAATATGGTACACCTAATTCTATACTTTCGTACATGATGCCTATTTCGTTGTCAGGTTTCAATTTTACTAGGCTATTTTATGTAAAAAAGCTGCTGTTTTATATTGTAAACGAACAAAAAAATCATAATCTTTATTTCTTACCTATTAAAAAACGGGTTTCCTGCAAAATAACCAAACCTTTTTTTTAATTTTTTACTGGGAACAAACTTAACTGATTCCCGATAATGATATCCCGTCTTGATTATATACGTGATTTTTCAGGCGGGTACACGATAAAGAGTAGCAGTCGTAAGCCGAAGACGCGCAAGCTCACGAAGGCCGACATCGGCATGCCTTTGGACTTCAAACACGTGTCGCACGTCGGCTGGGACGCCAACAAAGGTACCATGCACTAACATGCTTTTAGAAGTAACTGGTTCATTTTGTAACATCTGAACATCACCATGCCGATTACACACACCGACACCGAGCATCTTTAGGGTACTACTGAATAGGCATCTTCTGCGCCAGCACGTCCCATGGTAGACACGTAAAAAAAAAATAGGACGCCGGAGGGCCAGCGCTGACCGTCGGGTGGCGGGAGAGAGCATCGTAGAGGATTTTATGTCCGCCAGGGATGAGTTACATCGATTACGATACCAGTACTGTACGGACTCCAGTCTCTCACAAATTGCTATTATATTTAATTTTGGGTCTATTTAATGTAAGATTTGTGTCTGAGAACTTAAATATTATAATTATACCACGAACGTCCGCCAGCGTACTGCAGAGTCCGGTAGAATGCCGTGGCGTGCCGCCGGTCGCAAGGATTTGATACCGTTCCTCTAGCTACTACGCAGTCGAAATGTCTCCCAAAGCCAGACTCCGGCGCACATTGGAGGATTTCAGCGCATACTGGTGGAACCTGCGCTATGGCATATGCATATGAATCCGTCGTGTGCCGGCACCTCCCGCCGCTGTATCCTCTAGCGTGCTCTTCAATACCGCAGAGAGAAATGCCGCGATGCTCCGAGGTTGACCTCTGAGGTCGACGCATTGAAATTTATAATTTTTTTTCCATTGAAATAGCATAAAATATACATTGATAAATTTAATGTCCTCTATCTTCTCGTCTGCCGGTTTGCGCTGGCCCTGACGCAGTGACTAGTATTTTGTAGAAATTCCTACTTGGTGCTTCGTAAGTCCAGTATTACCATGAGATTGATTGCATTTCAATGTCCAGATCTTATTTTTCAACTTCACTTATAATTTTACCGTTTAATTCCAGGTTTTGATGTGGATAACCTTCCCGAAGAAGAGATGCGCTCGTTCTTCTCGAAGGCGGGCATCTCGGAGACGCAGCTGCAAGACCAGAAGACCCGCAAGTTCATCTATGACTTTATTTACAAACATGGTGGCATCGACGCCGTTAAGGAGGATCTACACGAGACGAAGCCTCCTAGAGGTAAGATACGTTTAATTACAAATTTCTATGAACCACGGTTTCCGAAGAAGAGATGCGCTCGTTCTTTTCGAAGGTGGAAGTGCAACTGCAGGACCAAGAAATGAGGTTTAAATAACGCGAGTTAGCCAAGGCCATTTGCCAATATCAAGGGCGTTTTGAAATCACAAGTTCATTTAATTTACGAACCCAATATGAAATCCGAAGTTATAGTGACGAAATATTATTTGCACCAATTCGTCTTGCTTTATCTTTCTAGTACAATAGGACAAAAGACGCTCGTGCCATCTGTATAGTGCACACAACTAGTGTAAACACTTTTACGTATAGATACTTAACTCTAAACTTGATAATCTTTATGCGGCACTAAGTTTGCTGAATTAGTAAGAAAAGTGACGGTAGTCGTATTTTACGAAGTAGCCACAGTTTGTAAAAAGAACCTGATGTATAAAAAATAGTTCAAATAGACTTGACTTCTTCTCCTACTGTAGCTATTTGGGTCTATGAACAATTCTGTGGTACTCATGTTGAACCACTCTGAAAAACTACACTAGAATTCAGAAAAAGCATTTAGCGCATCTGGACCCCGATTCAGAACTCTTCGATATTTTAACCGAATTGTTCGATGGGATATCGTTCTCGAATCGAAGGGCGCTTTCCGAGCTATTCAGAACATTCGAGTTAAACGCTCAATTCGAATTCGATATCGTTATCCAACAGAGTTTACTGAATTAGTCGGTGAAATAGATTATAAGAAAAATGCAAATCCTTTAATATACATTTTTAAGACTTTAAAGGCCTAAATTATAGTAATGCATTGGTCTTGCATTTAAATAAATTTATACAATTGTACAATATCCAAACTTTATTTAAAATAATAAGAGATTTCCATATTACAGTCTTGCTTTGTAAACAATAGGACGTTCGGTAACTTTCATTCGATAACTGTGTTCTGAATAACGTTTGTAGCCTTTGTCGGGAGTTAGAGTCGACGTCATTTCGATTCGGTTTCGAATACGACAGTTTGACGTTCGATTCTTGTGTTGTGAATAAAAATGAAAAAAAAATCGGTCGACAACAGAGTTATCGCGAGGTTCTCATTTGATCCCCTGCACTCATGAAATGTCGATGGACCAAGATCATTAAGTCCAAGTACGCTTTAAGTAAAAGAAGTTTTAATGGTTTTATTATGCTATTGTAATGGAAAGGATAAGCCACTCTAAGCGTTAACATACGTCGGTGCAAGTAACGTTTCTTCAATTTTAACAACAAATCAAGGATAACTATGATACTTTTAACGATTAGAAGTGACTGACTGAGGTTAAGGTCAATTGGTCTTACTGTCTGCTTCCATATTATGAAAAATAACAGTCATATAATTCTCTTTAGAAATAAACGCCAAATTGTGATCACTTTCAATTGTTATGTAATATGACGATTTCGGTAGCCCAACGGTTTGCACTATGGGCACTGGATGAGGAAGTCCCGGGTTTTTTTTATAATATCGAGTAACGGGACGAACAAGTCGTGCGCCTGATGGTAAACTATACGCCTGTCCATAACAGTTGCAGTGCAGTTCATACGCATTAAAGTAAGGATCTACTATTACGACCACCTATCATTGCAATTTAAAACTCTGGGCGGCACTGCAACTGTTATGGACAGGCGCGTCGCTTACCACTAGGCGCACGACTTGTTCGTTCTGTCACTAGGTATTACAAGAAAAAGTATCAATTTGTCATGTTTGCTATTGATGTTAGTAGTAATAAGTTGGTCGTCTATGTTGCAGGCGCATTGACCAACGCGTCGCCTGCGCCTCCGCCGCCAACGACGCCAGCGCCGCCCGTGCCCGCGCGCAGCCCCGCGCCGCACCACCCGCCCGCGCCACGTACGTGCCCCTCACCCCCTCGCTCTCTTGCCCACTATAACATATTACAATTCTAAACACAATGTCTAGGGATAACGTGATCGTCACTTTTTAAACAATACCAGTTTATATAAAACAAAATAGTATTTTTTTTTTAGTTTAACTGCCTCGGTGGCCGAACGGTTCCCATGCTGGTCGGCTACGCAGAGTCCCGGTTTCGATTCGCGTATCGGTAGAAATATTTGTGTGGCCTACATTTATTTTTTTCGTGAGTTTGGGTGTAATTTGTGGTTGTCTATGTGTGTGTTCATGGCACTCGCGACACAGAGTGTCCCTAGTGCGGGGCTATGAGAGTTGCGTTAGAGTGTGCGTTATTTATTTATTTATGTAGTATGAACTATATCCGATAGAGAAAAAACTTCGAAAGAAATAATAATAAAGCGCACACACTCATAGCCTAGGGGAACCCTATACACACACAGACAACCACAAATTATACCCAAACCCACGATAGAAATAAATGTAGGCTATACAAATATTTCTCCCAGCCTAGGAATCGAACCTGGGACCTCTGCGTGGCAGTCCAGCATGGTAACCGTTCGGCCACAGAGGCAGAGAAACAGTGGCGAGGCGTCAATATCACTCGATTCCCACAGGCATGCCTAAAATTTTCCACGTATCATCAAATATCATAAATATTTTAAAGTAATTTACTACATTTTATGCTTAATTTTTTGCGTGTAGAATAAATTAACTAGTGAAATTTAGTGTACTAGTATATTGTGTGCTAATAAGTTTTGTTAAGGCAAGTGTTCTTTGTTTTGCTCCGGCTTCGATAAAGACAATTTTCACGCCTCGCTGCTGCAGAGAAATGACAGTAGAACATTTTTTTTTATAACATCAAGTGACGGGACGAACAAGTAGTGCGCCTGATGGTAAGCTACACGCCAGTCCATGACAATTACAGTGCCACTCAGAGCTTCAAATCACAAATATCTTAGTGGCACTACCACTACGCCAGTAACCCTGAAACATAAGTTGACAAGTCCCATGTGCCTGTAATTTCAGCAGCAGCGTTTTCATGTTAAAAGCTAACGCCCACCACTTCGAGGTCCGACGGTAACGTACCTGTCACCTGATTGATTAATTCAATATTGTAACCAGCTTAACGTGCTTTATTTTGTCTAGCGTCGCGAGCTCCGCCGCCGCCCCCCGCGCGCGTCGTGCCCCCGCCCCCGCCGCCACCGGCATCACTACTTGCGCCCAAGAATCCGCCACCCCCAAGGCCTACGCAGCGTGAGTACCACAGTGTCTGATCATATCCGAGTGTGGATGGCGTTCATTGCAGCCAATAAATTAATGATATATTCTCTATTGCACATAAAGTTACAGCGACCTCACAAAAGAGTAACTGAAATATAAAAATAGTAAGTTACTATGCAACAGGCGGCCTTATTGTTCTATAGCAATTTCTTCCAGGCAACCTTAGGATGAAAATTTTGGCACTTGCAAAAGGGGCGTAACTAAAGAATATCTTCATAAATACACTATATAATAAGTACTAATAAAACACCGTCGCCTTAGACAGAGAACAAAAAGTAACGAGAACGGACACTCTCCACCCCTCCCTAGCTTTAGATACCGCACTACGCCCCGCACATTGACAATCACATTGACTGAACGACGACAAGGCTGTCGGCGAGCCGTTTTTGCGCTAAGTCGGCTTTGATATTTGAATATAGTTTTCATTTATTCATTACGAAACTTGTACGTTAATATATAACATCATTGTACGTTACTATTTGTAATGGTCGTGAATTGTGCTGTGTACAACTGTTTATCATTGTCTAAACGGGATAAAGACAGGAGTTTCTTTCGTTTTCCGGAAAATGAAACGAAGTAAGTAAAAAAACTTATGCCTGAGACCATTGATATTTGTAAGTCAATGCCTGAGATTCATTGATTTATTGTTTTCTTCATTTAATTAGTGTAGAGTAATATATGATACAGATTTATTATATCAATATAATGAGACGCCATAAGTTCGTGACGTAGTAGACAAGGTTTCTCGAGTTTTCAATTTGTATTGCCGATAAATATGTAGTGAATATGCCTAATTATTAACTAGGCAACCTTGGACACGCAATTTCAAATACCTTCGTTACCTTATTTAAAGTACCTGTCCAAATATAGCATTTTAAGTGCTTTTAATTTATTTTTAAAATAAATCTTCAATGTTATTATAGTTAGTGAATTAATGAAAAATATAATATTATATCGATATAAATACGTTATGAACATGTGTAATTTATTATTTTATTTTATTATTATTACTATTAAGATTCTATTAATAGAATTATAGATAACAGATTCGCGTTAGAATTCTCGTTATGTTGCCGCTCGGACCACGTAACGTAATAAATAGTACGAGAAAGTGATGGGTAACCCTGCTACTTCACGTACACATTTGCACGTGTGCAGATAGCGCCTTGCTGTATGTAGTAGTAGTAGGTAAATAACTTTCGACCGTTGTATGGAGTGTCTGGGGTGTGCCTTAGAGTGAGAACCTCGCTTATGCGTTTTCACATAGTTCGTTTTTACGAATTTCTGTTGAAGAATAACTTATAAACTTCTTGTTCAAATATATTATTAAAGCAATATAGTATCTGAAAGAGGTCCAATTTAACTAATTAAAATAATTAGTTAAATTATAAAATGTATTTTACCCCACATTTTTGAGTTCGTCCTGAAAAATTACATAGAAATCACATACGAGTTATTCACTCTCAGACGACGATATAGGTATGTAGATATATATGGAGATAATACTAATATATACCAATAAATCTAGGGTCGGCGGACTAAAGCACATAAGTAAAAAAAGTGCTTCGTTTGTTAATATATTTTTTTTAAATAACTTCTAGAATAAAGTTAGAAATTTATGAAGTAACAAATGAATTTGACTTGTGTGCTTTAGCCGGTATATGTATTAATTTAAATGAATGATGTTGAATTTTGACTTATGTACTTTAGTCTGCCGACCCTAGAAATAATAATATTAAAGACATGTATGTTTTTGAAGGGAGATAAATAAAATATAAATGAGTCCTGCAAAATAAAATATCTAAGAAATATGTTTGTTGCAGCACCTTCGAGCGCCCCCCCATCAGTGCCACCCCCACCGCCCCCGGGCATGACCCCGTCTGGTGCACCGCCACCTCCCCCTCCGCCGCCCCTGGCGCCTGTGCCCCCGCCGATGCCAGTCGAAACGCCCTCAGCTGGCGACGCACGGTCCGCGCTCATGGAAAGCATACGCACCGGGAACAAGACGCTCAAGGTTAGTATAGAAACTTGCAGTGAAATCTCCTCCTTTTCCAAGAGCTTGCGAGGTACTATGTAATATTAAACGACGAATATAATCATAATTAAAGATTTAGGTATTGTGAGCGTTCAGTTAGAAGACTCGTCAAGAACCCCCCCAGATGTGCGTTTGACAACAACCCTTTTTTATCTAGTTTTAAATAGAAAACCACCCTTTTATTTTTTACACAGTTCTAAATACAAAATAATAATATAATCTATCCAGCCTGCGCTACAATACCTATGTTAATTACTTATATTTAACAACTGCAAATGTTGACTAAAAATTTATTCATTTTGTTAATAGACTACTTGAGCAAAATATGTGGAGTAGCGGCAACTTCTTAATTTATGTGAAAATAGTGCATTATTGATTGGAATCGAAACAATTTTAAAATTCGCGTAAATTTGTTTTTTGAAACAAACCAACGTTTCCGTGGTAAATTAAATAAAAGGTATGTTAATACCATATTTAATAAAATTCATAACTTTTATAACTATGAATAGTTTTGATTTTTTTAATTTTCGTCATACAGAAAGTGGAAACTGCCCCGCGGCCAGTGATCGACGACAGCAGAAGCAATCTGCTCAGCGAAATCAGACAAGGGGTCGAACTTAAATCCGTAAGTATATTTCAACTTCCATCTCTCGATGTTTTGACCACGGAAGAAAAAACAATGGAAAGGCCTTAAACCGAACCGAACAACCGCTGTCGCCAAAACACAAACTATCATTATGTTAAACACTATGAAATCTTGATAATGAGGTTAGTCGTAGTTTCTAATTTGAAGGTGTAACAAACTCTGGACAGTTAATATAATTCAAAACTTAACCCTGTTGGCATTTCCTTGAAAGTTCAATACCTATTCAAGTTTTGATTTTATATTGAAATTTCATTGAAGTGGTGACATCTAGTGGTCAATCGCTGAAAGACGGCGAACTATTAACGCCTACGAGTAGCGTGGAGAATTCGAGATGTTTTCTTAGTTCTCCGAAGAAAGTCGACCATTTTGCAGCAGTATAAGGTTTATTTTCGTTTCTTATTACAAATAATCTATTAGGATAAACAGAAAATGGAAAATATTGAAATTAAAGACTTAACAATGATGTGAAACAACACCATGGATTATATTATAGGTGCGACTATCATTCTTGCACTCCAAAGCAGCAAAACAAGTACTTTTTCCACGATTTTGTAGGTTTTCGCGCGAGATAATTAACACGACCATAATGGACTAGCAAAAATGGCTGAGCTCAAGTTTGCGGAACTCCGCGTACTGTTGGCACACATGACACGCCCGCTAAGCACTTCTATTGTAATTATTATACTGTGGTTTTAATAAACAAACATCAAGTTTATACGCCACACGGCTCACAGCACTGGTATCCTCTAAGGCGAATGTTTAGGACGTAGTCTTCACACGTTCGATGTTTTTCTTCACCGTTGTCAGGTTACTCGATCATTAAGCAACGCGAATGCGGCGCCACGGCCTTCAGGCGGCGGATGCGGACTGGCAGAAGCACTAAAGAAGGCATTAGACGACCGCAACATCGCCATGCACTCGGACAGCGACAGCAACACCTCAGACACCACCAGCGACGGCGATGAGTGGGACTAAACACGCGGTATATATAAAAGATAATGCAGTTTTAACGTTTCCACATATTTAAGGCCCATGTCACACTCTGAATAATAAAGTGAGACAAATCGAAAAGTAAAATTTTTGGAAAACTAATAGTTCTAGCGTTCATTCTGGATGAATGATTTTTCGGCCGATCGTCGAAAAATCAACAACTTCCTGAGGATACCTCATGGAGATGTAAAACACGAGTCGAGTATGTTTTTGGAGGTAGTGTTTGTGACCTGTAGTTGCTCTTGTGGTATTAATTTTATGCGGGGGGAAATTAACTGCATGAAAACAATGCTTAACAACACAATATAAACGCAGCTATTTTGCACGACTTAACATTCGCAGGTTTCGCGGAGTGGCAAATTATTTTACTCCCATCTTTGTTTTGGGAAACGAACAAAATGAATTTAAAAAAATAACGTACGAACTAAAAAATACTAAAGTGTAAAACTAAAGTAACATTTTTCATATTAAATTTTTCGTATTGATGATCATGATCGTTATTTTTTTAAATAGTATTTTCTGAATTGCTCATAATTTACTTTCCAAGTTTCGTCGTTTTATTATTGAGGATGCGATTTGTAACCAACAAAAAAAAATTGTTTAAAAAATTGGATTGGTACAAGTTAAAATTATATTCTGTGGTCTGCTTTGATTTTAGACTATTCTGTTTTTCTCTTTTTGAATGAAAAAACTAAATGATTACGGATACTAAAACTAACTGCTCATATTTCGCTCAACATTAAAAAAGAGTTTAGTTCTGCATATTTCTAAAAGCGTTCAAACTAAAGTGGTTTTCTTGCTTATTCATTAGGAGTGTGTTAAAAACCAGTCGTATAATTCGTCCGTCTCCTTACCAACTGCCGTTTTTGATATCTTTATTACAACTATATTTTGACTATATATTACAACTGGTTCTTTTGATACAAAGATATGCCACAGCTAGGGCGCGTTCCCGTTATGTCGTGACGTTGTGTATTTAAATGAAGTTATTCACACATAGAACAACACGATTAACTGTCATTTTCGACTTTTTTGACGTTACGACGACAGACTGTCGTGATAATGGGAAGAGCTAGAACGACAGTCTTCTGACGATAAATAAAGCGGCACGATAAAAATATAACGATAAATAATAGCTGTCGTGAACCGATAAATTGTCGTCACGATCTAGTGGGAACAACTAGACACGACAGTCGTTCAACGATAAAATAAACGGCCACGACACGGTCACGACAGATAGTTGTGATATGGAAACAGACTAGTCCCGACAGTCATCCAACGATAAATAAATAATATGATAATAATAACGCACACACTCAACATAGCCCCGCACTAGGGAGATCCTGTGTCGCGGGTGCCATGGACACACACATAGATAACCACAAACTACACCCAAACTCAGAGTGAAATAAATGTAGGCCATAAAAATATTTCTCCCGGCCCGGGAATCGAACCTGGAACCTCTGCGTGGCAGTCCGGCATGATAACCGTTCGGCCCCGGAGGCAGTTGCGACATAATGGGAATGCGCCCTAATATATTTTTAAGTGTTCTACAGAAAATATTGGTATTATTACAATTATATCACATTGTATATTGTTATTACCTTACGCTTTGTTATATTTTCATAGGCTGTATGAATAAAAAACATCGTAGTAAATAGTACAAAATAAGACCTCTAATGTTGCTCATTTGACTGGCTCACGAAGAAACATAACACCAATTGATAGAAAAATTCATTGGACAGCGTCAAACGGAATTTGGCATTAAAATGTAACGTGTCATTGTTATAGGTAATAGAGGATAACACGTGTAATTAAGAAATAAAAACTATTTTTTATAACTAATGATTCTACATAGTATAAATTTACTAGAGAAACAGTGATGTCTCGGCGGACGAAATTAAAAAAATGGTTTTATTATTATTCCAAGATTGCAAACTGCAGACTGCACCGACAGACCGCAAACGACATTACCTGCTTTCTGTGAACGACATACGACATTATAGCCACGCTTCGACTGACCAGTCTGCTATTGAAATTGGAGTCTGAAGTGTGCCGCGTTGCTCAGAATAGCATTTCTATACTATTTTTCAGCAGGCTTCGCTACCACGTCGTTATCAAAAGGGACTTGCATTAATTTAGATTTATTTCACATTAAAGGAGCATTGATGCCCAGCAATTAGACACGCTAAACAAATGACCGATAGCTTTGTGTGCACTGTATTAAGAAATAAAAGAGGAAATAACGCTTGGTTGTAACATTTTTCACGATTTTATTGCTGCTTCTTTTGCTATTATAAGTTAGTGCCTTAAACGTGTACTTGGCTTGCTTGCTTTACTCGCGACGACATAGACGGACTTTAAGGTGAGGCGAGTTTCCACCAGTGAGGCGAGACGAAGATTGAAAGTACGGAAATACTAATACGGAAAAATTTCAATTATCTCCTAGAGCATTTTCGGTAGAAAAGATCTGGGTTGAAGAGGTTGTGCAAGACGAGAATTGATACATTTGTTGGTACAATACTGAACTGTATTGTTGCCTAAATATAGTGTTTATTAACTCTGCAACGGAAACACGATTCTTCGCAAAGTCTGACACGTGCTCGCAATGGCTATTCATTACAATCGCGAGATTGAGATGTGCGTACGATTTAAGACTTGAATAACTGTAACTTTTTTATAAAAAAAGAAACCGACCTCAAAAATTCATGGAATTACATCTATTTGCCATGTTTAGTTGAAATCGGTTACCGGAAAGTGCGCAAAACCGGATTCATCCCCTAGTTGCCACCTTTAGAGGCGGATTTCTTCAAATTAAATTGGGACCAATATGGAGGTACCATCTTTCTAACAAAAAAAGTTGAATCGGCTCTCCAACAGCGCCGCCCTGACATGTAAGCTATAGTTTAGGGTACAATGGAACTGTCATGTACATTGTATAAAAGTTCCTAAATAAACAAAGATAAAAAAAAGGCTCAATATACACGGCGAAGAACGCATCAACGCTCCTTTAATATGAATTGATTTAACAATAAATCGCAGCGCTAATTAAACGCGTACAACCATGGACTTTTTTAAAGTCGCCTACGAGTTAGTTCAATTTTAAGAACGTATCATATTTTAGTGCCTCCATCCAGTTCAATTTTAAGAACGTATCATATTTTAGTGCCTCCATCCATCACGTTATTTTCTATTTGTGAATTATAGCATTAAATATTTTAATTAACGGGTACGACGGAGTATAAATGCACCTATAGTTAGCCCGCGTGTTAAAGAGAAAATAACAAAATAACAAAGAAAACAACAAATAACTGGAAAGAGTTTTATTGTGTGACCACTTAAGCAGGTCTGCGCCTTGGCTCGGGTACTGTGAATAAACGGAGAAATGATTCATAATTCATAACTTATTTATTTGTGAAAACATAAGTTGTATAGAAGTTGAAATTACCAAAATAAGTATAAGTAGTTTCACTAGGAGTACAAACATATTTCCGCTCTGTTCTGTTTCTCCGCCGCCAGTCAATTCTGTTCACAGTTTTAACCGTGTGATAAAACAACTTCTCCACCTTCCCATGGTTATACAGACTAAGTCTTGGGAGAATAATAATATATAATTTATTGTCTCGCTACATTATTCTCTTAAAATCTAAAGCAGCCAGAGGCTTAGCTCATCACCGTGCCAGCGCACGGTGACGAGATCGGGCAGCGCTGTTTTTCAGGCTCTACCTAATCCCTGTGGTCTTGAGCGGGAGTCTTGTCAATGATGACTGATGAATACTCTCTTAAAGTAGCATAGAGTAGTTGCCCGGGGCAATATCCAGCAACACTTTACTGTAAATCTTCTCAATTATGTCTCCTTATTACTTTTAACCTTTCTGGGACATGATGGCACATTGCTTTTGATATGCCGTCAATAAAGTAGAGTGCAAAGCCACTGTCCGGAGCGGAATCATTGTTCCCCTCGCCACACTGCTGTCTAAGACGCGGCCTAGTTTCCACGGTCAGACTATACTTAAGAGTGAGTGATTGGTGTGCCAATGGTGTAGAGTTCAGTGCCTCCGATTGTATTTGTATTCATGTTATGTTTGACTAGTCAGCACATATGGAAGGCATTATGTTCCACACACACTTTAAAATGATTGAATAATCTGGATTGTATATTTACTTTTTGTACTAAACGTCTTATGGGGTTACGCCTCATTAGTATTTCATAGTTTATGTAATTATTGACAAGTTAGTATTAAATGTTCTAAAAGTTTTCTATATTTTATTATCAAAGTATAAAAATTTGAGTTTCCATGTTGTAGTAAAAAAGTTATTTGTTATCGTGGGTACAAATTGTTACCTTAAAATCGTTACTTTGGTTCTAGAACATTCTCTTAACTTGACAACTACAATTTTAAGTTAAAAACTATAAGTTAGGTCATTAATATACTTTTTAGTGACGACTGTTGATTCAACGTTCAATATTTAGTTTAGAAAAAATATATGTAGGTACCTATATTATAAACGTTTTTGTATATGTGTATATAGATATATTCTTCTAGGTAAATGACTGAGGTGAAACAAAAGTGATTCTAAAATGTAACACTTTAATCATATCTAGTTAGATTAATGGTATAGTTGTATCATAATTGTTAAGATTAGTTGTTAAGGTTATAGTTTCAATTAGCGTAAATATCATTTTTTAAAGTCGGAGCAAAGAATTAAGAAATATGAGACCAGCTTGCTTAACAAAAAACCTCTATTTTTCATCAAGACAACGCACATGATATTGACTGCCCGGCGCTTTACTTGCCGAAACTACAGTCACGTTAATTTAACGCTGTAACTTTTTCCAACCAGAGATCGTAATGACGCGGCAGTATTGCGACAGGTATGGCGTTACAATTTCTGTTAATTGAAACTAAAACAATCTCGACATTGCACCTTTACTTGTTGCCTTACTAATAAGACAACACGTGAAATAGTACTTTAACCGTTAAAACTTAGCTGAGCAATAACTTTTATTTATTTAATTATAACAGTAAGTCGTAATCAAAAGTTTACATTGGTGTTTTTATCGTAAATTACTCTCAAACTGGATAAGATTTTGTTGAAATTTCCTTGCTTTTGAAGTCGATTAAGTTAAGAACAAATCTGTGGCTCTAGCTAATGGGGTACAATTAAAAAAAAGCCAACTTTACAAGGAAATGCAAAAAACACTTAACGCGTAATATTACATTAAGCTTTTACTGTTTTTCACGTCGCCTTGTAAATTAGTTTTTTTTTACTTGCGCTCCTTTTCACCAGAGCCGCAGAAATTTGGCGTTCGATGGCTAATCAAGGTAAAAAACGAGCGTTATTACTGG